TCACAGGATGTATTGAGGGTTGAGAATTCAAGGACTCTGCGAGACAAAAATGCATCATCGGGTAGTAACGGTACCACAAACAACTATTGTGGATGTGGAAACGTTTCACATCTGGTGTGAGTGTGGTAAGTTGTGTGTGAGGTTGAGTATATGAAATTTCGACTGAATGTGATAACGGTGTATAGTGAACCTCTCCGCGTTTGTAATTTGCCGCCTGGCACTTCGGACAAGTTTTTTCGAAACGTGGATGGTGTTCACCTGGTCAAATTACTGGTCCAGTTCCATATGAAAGTGTTGGACACATCGGAGAGACCTCGTGCACAACGTCATCGCATGTTAACCTATCGGAGCCATTGACAGGCAAGATCAGAAAGTACAATGAAGCCATGCTGATGTTCTTCCGCATGCAGAATCGTCATCACCGTCATCATCATCATTATCGGCAGAATGTCACCAGTGTTGAACACCCATGCCTAACTGCCGTACAAACACGATCTATTTGAAAATCTTATTGTAAAGAAAAGAGTAAAGGTGGACGGGGAAGAGACTCAGTGCTAGCCTAGCACAATCATTCCGAGGTGACTATACCTCGAGACATTCACCCAGGCGATCTGGATAGAGAGTGAAAACAAGAACGCCACTGACATCGGTTGGCAGCCATATCGTGCAGCGTCTCCATCCAGGCGCAGTGGGGATCACGCTATCCCCAACCTGGAAGGCGAATAGCACCGACAGCACCCAAACTTTTCATGATTTCTTTCATACCTTTCTGCGAAATCAAGGTTTGTCTACCTCTCTGCTTCCACTGCTCTGAATTGGGTTGGGAAAACTGTACTCGCTTCAGGAAAACAATGGTTCGGCATACGCAACACATGTCCCAACCAACGGGCCTCCTGGTGCTGGGTACATTCGTAATTCATTTCCTGATTCTCTCGGTACGAATTACCCGAGCCAGTCTAGATGACAATGGACAATGCGGGTGGGAGACTAATCGGTGGCGCATGAGGGAACCTATGCAGTCGTAAACCTCCGAGGCCGTAGTTTACCGTTTAGGGTTCTACGTCACCTGAGGGCTCCAGGTGGGTGCCAGCTGGTGGCCAAGATCATTGTTGTTTGGAGAATCCGGTCCAGCGGTCGAGGCATTCTGCTTTATTCAAGATGATCATTCCTCTCCCTTGTCCTTGATGGTTTCACCCAAAGATGGTTTCCGGGAACCGGTCACGCGGATCAACTGAAATAATCTTCGGGCAGTACCGGCTTTCTGTGTCCACCATATTTCATGGTGACTCACAAACCCACTTTCACTTGACGTCTGATAATTCGTCGCATGGGTTGTGTTCGGGACCGGCTGGGATATTTCTCTGAGAGTTAGGCAGTGCCATAGTTCGATCTGAGATATCCAGCGCTTGAGTGCGCCTGGTGGTGCCGTTTCGCAAGCGAAATTCCCGTCACTATGCAAAGCACTGACAATCTCGTCCCAGTGTGTGTTCACACCTGATGGCGAAGCTTTTGGAAGAGATTATAGATCACGCTTTTGGTAAAATCAACTAACATCCGGATCTGCCATTCTCTCAGTTGACATGCGACGTGCCCACACGCCGGTCCAGGAAAACTTAAGGAGAAGCGACTCCAGACGAGAGCATAGTGGGAAACCACAAATAGGTTCCAAAAAGACCAGCAGTCAGAAATTGATCTGCGCCATCAATAACTGACAACGATGTGATCGAGTTTGTGGCCGACATGCAGAATGAGCAAATTCAAATCGGTGTGCTGGTCCAGCAACAGAGGCCGCGTTGGTTGGGACGTGTGTTGCGTATGCTGAATCATCGTTTGCCAAAATGAGTACTGTTTTCCACGCCCAGTTGAGAGTGGCGTAAGCAGAGAGCTGGCCATCCTTTGATTTGGTAGAGGAGTATGAAGGAGATCACGAAACGCTTGGGTGCTATCGGCTCTACTCGCCTTCCAGGATGGAGACCTCGTGATCCTCATTGTGCATGGTTGGAAACACTTCAATATAAGGCTGCCAACCAATGTCAGTGGCGTTTTTGCTGTCAGTTTCTATCCAGATCGCCTGAGTGAATGTCTGGAGGTGTAGGCACCTCGGAATGATTGTAGTAAGCTAGCACTAAGTCCCTTCCCCGTCCACCTTTACTCTTATTTACAATAAGGCTTTCAAATGAATCATGGTTTTACGGCAGTGAAGCATCGGTGTTGGACACTGATGTTATGCTGTCGATGATGATGATGATGTGCTGGTTAATTGCCTACTGTGGGTTTTCCCTAAAAAACAACAGATAAATGACCAGCACTACTGGTCCCGTTCCACTATCTGGTACGTGTGTCGCCTATAGCCCTCAGAGACGGAATGCAACGGTGTGGTTACTGCTGTGAGCTGTCTAATTAAATTGTAGAGTCTCTCTGGGGTACTTGTTTTAAGTAGATGTCAACGGGCTCTTACTTGATGGCAAACATGCTAAGGTCGCCATGCCACGATAAGTACGTGCGGCTTTCGTGGGCACCCATCGTTTGGGCGTATAAGCCACTGTTTGAATAGAATGAGACTCGATAATTGTGCATAGGAAACGCGTGTGTGCGCAGATTGAGGCTCAAAGCATGTTGGCTTGACGTATTCCTACACACACACGTTTATTTTGATTCCGAGTATCTTGAAAATCACATCATTACAGCTTTTCTTTCCTGTCGAGCCGTCTCATATTTCTTACTGATATACATTTTGTGATCAGGAGACACCTTCTTTCGAAGAAAATTGTGTCCGTGAGCGATTGTTCCGCTGATCAATCAACTGCTGTTTTCTGTTATTACTCCACTCGTCCAATACACATCACACGAGAAATCTTTTGCACAGGTCACGTGAAAATCGCGATGAAATGTGCTGTTAATATAGGGAAAGACAAGGGGGTTTCGACGAAAGAGTTACACAGTTGAGTAATCGAATTCAATGTCAGACAAGATTTTGGGACGAAATTTGGCAGGCAGTTCAAACTTCAGAGGTCGTACACGTCTTATTGGGACACAGACTGGAGGGTCATATGATCATACGGAATTACACGCGCGTCTTGGATCGATTTGGTGGTCCGGTTTGTGTCAGCTGTGGTTGTTTGAGCCGCAACCGCCACGTGATATTCAAGGCCATTGGCCGTTGGCGCTCACATAAACTGTTTTAGACAGATGTGAGAAAGTTACTGCGGTTATGCACCCGATTCATTCCAAACTCTACTCAGAGACTCACAATGGTGTTCGAGAAACGTTTTATCGTACGGTCGATGTGTGATTGCTCACACGAGCACATAAATGAGCAAACGGAGAAGCTGATGGTATCGCTTGGCAATTTACGTTTTAAAACAAAACTCAAACAAACGATTGTGGCCGTCTATATCGTACCAACTGAAGGTCAAAGCTTTCCAGGAGCTATTTCAGTAATCGAATCACCCTTCAGTGAATTCTTATGTAGATGCACTTGTTCTCCGGTGAACATTGTTCAGTCCTGTTCATCCTTATAGATTGCATGGTGTTGGGTACGAATCATCCAGGATATTCATTCTACGACAGTGTGCGCCGAAGAAGTGGCGCTCCCGTTGTAAGACGGAGAATGTCTTCATTCTCCTCAGGGCGCAACCAGGAATCTGCTTGGGCTACGTTTATCTCCTTACAGAAACAAAGCTATCCATATGAGTATGTTGGCTTTTACAGGTTTGCTTTCCGTAAAATTTGTGCTGTTTTCTTCTTACTGTTGACATTGAAAAAACTTTACTTTTTGTTCTCTTCCGCCTCAGCAGTGTGAAATAATCGTTCAGCTGTAACACCATTTCGGTGCCCAGCTGCCATGTTATTCAAAGAAAGGACGAGGGCTGGGTTACTGCCAGGTTGCACAAGCCTAGATACGGGGAAAGTCGGAAGGCAGAAGTTGGGTTCGAAACACAGACATTCCGGTCAGCAAATTCGCACTCTAACCACGGAGCCATCTCGCCCCTGAGAGAATACGTGAGCGAATCTCTTCCCGGATCATCACTAGACTCAATGGCTAGAACAAATCTCGAGTGGGACTGGTCGTTTAATCATTCCAAGCGATCCTTTTCACGTTGTCCACCAGGTACCTAATAAACTGTCAGTATTGATCCAACTGTGTTGCTCGATTGTGGCCGAAGCAGTCGCAGTAAGATTGTGAAGTCCGTTACCACTCCTTCAAAAGTGATTCGTTCAAGTTCTGATTCAGCCCTGGTCATGTGACACGAATTAATCGATCGAGTCGCACAATGACCGCCTAGATCAGCACACAGTTAAATGCCACTGGCTGCGCTGATGATCAGTACTCCGCGTTTCTAGTTTATTAGTCAGCAGTAGATGTTTGTTGTCACAGTATTGATCCCTACTTCAACCACGTAACCCGATAACGACATCCGGGAAACATTAATTTCGGTCACACTCTGTTCTTTTTCCTGTTAAATAAACATCTGCTTCTTCGAACAACCTACTTGGGGTTTCAGGATTTTAATGGGCAATCAGGAAACGATGCTAGCTCTGCGTGAATTACGTCACTTCGCGGTGGCTTCATTACTGTTGTTTTTTGACGTTGAAGTTCGAAGACACGGTTTAGACAAGCTGGGATGTGCGTTGTCTTTAGAGCAACAGTTTTCATGCAACTCAACAGTCGTACAGTATACGAGCTTGAAAAGAACAGGAAATCACGGGAACTGGATAAGCTTGCCATTCGTGCGGACCCATTTCGTGGTGTCACGCCAGGGCGTTGATTGTTTAACACTTGGACGCGTTAGCCAGGGTCGAGTCTTTCACTATGATCCTTCTCAATATAGGTCTGGATTCAGTGTAAATGAAGGCTCTGGTCGCTGGTTTTTTGGCAATTGCACGCTTGAACAATATCAAAGTGACATGCACACTGGTACCTTGGTTAGGCATCCTCATCATCATCATCACCATCACCATCATCATCACCATCATCGTCGTCATCATCATCCTCACCATCATTATTATCATCATCATCATCAACAACAACAACATCACCATCATCATCACCATCATCATCATCACCATCATCATCATCAACATCATCATCATCACCATCATCGTCAGCTGTAATAACCGCGTACTTGTCGTATAGTGGTTGGAGCTGCCACAGTTTCCTTCACCGATGATTCAGGGAGGTGGGTTAGTTAGCTGCGCACTGGAGGCGAGAGCTGATAAATTAGTGCGTGAATACAAACCTGTAGGTGGATTGTTAAATGGAGGGATTGTAAAGGGAGCTATGCATTGAAGCGAGCTGTTGTGCCCTTCTTCTACCCATATGAAAGCAATAGCTATTTTCTTACTCCGTTAATTACTGGATGCACAAAATGCTGTGTAGCTCGCTTGATGCGAATTTATCCTTCTCTTTTTTTTACAAAGCATACATGTGTTCCAATCGGAAGAATGGGGTGAGTAGTATAGGAATTTTTGGGGCGCAAAAGAACAGCTTGTGAAGCTGCTATACAGACAAACTGTCAATGATTCACCTCTGCATAACAGCATCAGCTTGCATCAACAATGCAAGCGAGCCGGTTACATCAAACGGGATCTAGCGACTGTCTTTGGATTGTCTTGTTTAAAAGCAGAACAGGAGGTCATCTGACGGCATGCGAAAGGAGATTGGTGGGGGGGGGGAGGAGCAAAGTGATGGCTAATTGGGAACGCACGCACATAAATTTATCACAAGAAATCAAAAATAATCACTGGAATACACTTGATTTTGGGGCGATGTGTATCCATCTGGTTTCCGTGCGTTTGTGTATTGAACCGGCAAATTAGTATGATTAATGGTGATTTTGTTGCTCGAAGGATCGGTGCCGTCTGTATAGATACATACTGGTTTGGAAGACAAAGACCTGGAATTGGACAGTGATGACCAGGCTCTTTTGGCGCGTCGGAACCAGTCGGAAGATTTTGACTGAGGGCAAATGCCGTCACCATCATTTGAACAAAGCGCCGCGCTAGGAGTGGATGTGTTGAACGATCCGTCTGGTGCGGTTAAACTCGGATGGTCTTGATTAGTATCGGGCGCTAAACAAGTGAAAACAACAATGAGTAGTGCATTACAAAGATATACATGTATCGTGATGTCTCGACTATCGTGGCGACTGAAACATGAGGCGGCCTGGTGCAGCACATTCAGTTGCCTGAGAACATCACAAACGAGAGATTCAGCTGGGTTCCAGGTGAGCCTCTCGCAAAACCGAATTAGTTTGCAAATGAGTGTAATTCGCTAAGAATGATAGTGGTCTTAAACGAAAACATTCAGCAAGACCTCCCTTGACTAGCACATTGGACCAAATAATCGTCATCATCGACAGCATGAAATCCGTGTTGCCTAAAACAATTTCTCGGTTGGTGTGAGGGCCCAGTTCCCATGGACGATATACTTAGTTATGATCAGGTTCAGGATGCCCCCTGCTGATGGTTGCTCTTGGGTGTCATTGGGAAATTTTATTGGTCTGTATGGTCTGTCTACTGTCAACCGGATTGGGCCTGCTGTTATTCCGTATAAACCAGCGACTGGTTTACATCTTCCTTAAATCTCAACCGAGCCAGTAACAGTCATTTGTCCTGGCGAAGCTTTTGTGTTGAAAGCCACAAAGTGTTTACCAAAAAACCGTTCTGGAATAATCACAAGTCTTACCTTTCAAAAAGGTGACGGTCAATTCAATCATGCCGTAGAAATTGTTGAGACCGACATGTACCGAGAAAACGGTGAAACGGTGTGTAGCCTAATCTCCAGCGCAGAATAATTTCTGATAGTTGTACACTCCCGGACGTGTGAAAGTGTACGGGGAGCTATCCAAAAGCTTCTGTACACAAACCGTTTTCTGTCAGGGATGCCCACTCTCTCCATTCGTTTTTAACCTCGTGATCGATGAAATAATGAGACGAACGCTGCAGGGTCTCCAAAACCCTGGTGTTCAAATAGCCTATGAAGAAGAGTGATGTTTTCCGTGCCAAACTCAGAGTGGCGGAAGCATAGAGGTGGCCAAGGATTATGAAGGAGATCACGGAACGTTTGGGTGCTGTCGGTGCTACTCGCCTTCCAGGATGGGGACCGCGTGATCCTCACGGTGCCTCGTTGGAGACACTACAGGATATGGCTGCCAACCGATGTCAGTGGCGTTCTTGTTTTCACTTTCTATTCAGATCACCTGAGTGAATGCCTGGAGGTGTAGGCACCTCGGAATGATTGTGGTAAGCTAGCACCAAGTCCCTCCCCCGTCCACCTTTACTCTTTTCTTTACAATAAGGCTTTCAAATAAATCATGTTTGTGCAGCAGTGAAGCATCAGTGTTAAGCACTCCACCCTTAGTTCTGAGGTATCGATGGTCAGGATCTGGAGATGTCAAGATCCACCTTTGGAAGTAGCCATGACTCGTAGTCGCACTATATTCTGACAGACGAACCATTTGAGGTCCAGTGATATACATTCTTGATGCAACAAGTTGTGCAAATCGACAAAAGTTATTCTGACATTTAGCACTTCCAAACAGAAATTTGTGTGCTGAATACAGCCAAACTATCAAGTTTATTTTTGAATTTTTGAATAAAATTGTTCACAGGACTCAAAATAATTCGAATACAACCAAGCAATGCACCCGAGCTACCTGTGCAACGATGGATACTACTGATGAGGCATGCAAGTAGTATGTGGTTTTCTCGTAACTCCGCTTCGCGTCTATTGAAAAATGTGATTTATTGCGGAATTCGTGGAATTTCTTTGTACCATTCGTTTAAACTTGAGTAATAGTCAATGAATAGTAGGTAAGGTTCAAGAACACGTGCTCAAGAAGAAAACGGATATTCAGATATTGACCTTGCTGTCCAATAGTCAGTAACCGCTTAGTTGGTGTTTTCGAGTAAGCGATTCCACAGCAAAGAGCTCCTTCGTTTCACCTTTACTCCCCAACAAACTGTGGTATTGAATCCAGTGCTTCACTCTCCCATGAGAATGCTTAACGAGTGATCCAGGATTTCTGTCGGGTATGTACATTTAAGAGGTACATTTAAGTACATTTAAGGTACATTTTCAGAGGAACTGTAATGTAGTAACATGAAAAGATGCAGAAAAACAATATTTTCCGTATTGGTGAGGTAGTCACACCCACCTCACGTTTACGCCCTTCCAATCACAAACCTTTTGGTGGCAGTGTTCCGTGGAAGAAAAACCAGATTAGTGACACGGCCAATAAGTTCAGGTAGTATCCACACATGATAAGTTTCTACCTAACCTTGTAATACTTTTTATGGTAGCGGCCCATGTAATTAAAGTTAAAAAGTTTATCCAGAACGTTTAGTATTTGCGGCCAAAAAAGAACGTGCAAAACGGGGGGAGGGTGTGAGATGACGGGCTGACATCGAAACAATAGCGAAATTTGTAACCCTAATGAGACTAAACCATGCTCGTCCCATTTGGGGCACATGTTACCAGTAACCTGTGAATATCAGGTTGAAAGTATCATGCATCATTAACATCAATTGGCTGGATTCTTTAAAACGTTGCTGAAGGTCACTTACCGGTTTTATAAGAAAAAACGTGTGGATTCATGGTTGTGCGGCAGTGAAGCATCAGTGTTAAGCACTCCACCCTTAGTTCTGAGGCATCGGTGGTCAGGATCTGGGGATGTCAAGATCCACCTATGGAAGTAGCCATGACTCGTAGTCGCACTATATTCTGACAGACGAACCATTTGAGGTCCAGTGATATACATTCTTGATGCAACAAGTTGTGCAAATCGATAAAAGTTATTCTGACATTTAGCACTTCCAAACAGAAATTTGTGTGCTGAATACAGCCAAATTATCGGGTTTATTTTTAGATTTGGAATAAAATTGTTCACAGGACTCAAAATAATTCGAATACAACCAAGCAATGCACCCGAGCTACCTGTGCAACGATGGATACTACTGATGAGGCATGCAAGTAGTATGTGGTTTTCTCGTAACTCCGCTTCGCGTCTATTGAAAAATGTGATTTATTGCGGAATTCGTGGAATTTCTTTGTACCATTCGTTTAAACTTGAGTAATAGTCAATGAATAGTAGGTAAGGTTCAAGAACACGTGCTCAAGAAGAAAACGGATATTCAGATATTGACCTTGCTGTTCAATAGTCAGTAACCGCTTAGTTGGTGTTTTCGAGTAAGCGATTCCACAGCAAAGAGCTTCTTCGTTTCACCTTTACTCCCCAACAAACTGTGGTATTGAATCCAGTGCTTCACTCTCCCATGAGAATGCTTAACGAGTGATCCAGGATTTCTGTCGGGTATGTACATTTAAGAGGTACATTTAAGTACATTTAAGGTACATTTTCAGAGGAACTGTGATGTAGTAACATGAAAAGATGCAGAAAAACAATATTTTCCGTATTGGTGAGGTAGTCACACCCACCTCACGTTTACGCCCTTCCAATCACAAACCTTTTGGTGGCAGTGTTCCGTGGAAGAAAAACCAGATTAGTGACACGGCCAATAAGTTCAGGTAGTATCCACACATGATAAGTTTCTACCTAACCTTGTAATACTTTTTATGGTAGCGGCCCATGTAATTAAAGTTAAAAAGTTTATCCAGAACGTTTAGTATTTGCGGCCAAAAAAGAACGTGCAAAACGGGGGGAGGGTGTGAGATGACGGGCTGACATCGAAACAATAGCGAAATTTGTAACCCTAATGAGACTAAACCATGCTCGTCCCATTTGGGGCACATGTTACCAGTAACCTGTGAATATCAGGTTGAAAGTATCATGCATCATTAACATCAATTGACTGGATTCTTTAAAACGTTGCTGAAGGTCACTTACCGGTTTTATAAGAAAAAACGTGTGGATACAATTCACACCAACGGGTTGATGGTCTCTGGGATAAAATCACCCGCAGATTTAAGTAATGATTAAGAACAATTGAATGACAATTAGAATGCCACTGTGTGCACCGCCTTGCTTCCATTAGCGGGGCTCCTGCAATATCCAGCGCGCCATGCACATAAGTTATCTTGTAACACTGAATGCTCTATGTAGTAATTTGTACGACAAAGGTCGCCGCTAATTGGACTTTTGTGGGCTGAGTAACAGTGAGTAGTTGCAAGATGGCAGATCACTTTTTTGGTCGAAACATCCACTTTCTTTCTTGGTACGATTATTCCGGATGATGCAGACAGACCGAGGGAGGCACATTTGAGTGAGCTTGCCAGGGAAACATATTCGTGGAATTACTGCAATTTGAAAATCAGAGGGCTAACCCTCGTATCAAGCTCATCCCAGAAAAAACGTTCAGCTGTATCACCCTCCAGGTACCTAACTGCCAAGCCACACAAGGGCTTGGATAGTGCCAGGTTGCCTTAGCCTAGACGGGGAAAGTCGAGAGTCAGAGGACCGGTTCGAACCACGAAACTTCCGGTCAGTTAATTCGCGCTCTAACCACTTGGGCCATCTCGACCCCAGCGCACTTTGGAAGCTGGATCATTTTTACAAAACAAACCCTGCTGCATAAGGTCAAAACTTACGGATGTGCGACATTCCGCCTTCAAGCGCCAACGGTTAAGTTGCGATTTTTAGTCTTTTGATGTAGTGTGTATCCAGGTATACACGGCATGAATACTTAACCTCTGTTCGACTACCTGAACCAGCACAGACGCCGGTTATTCGACAGACTTATGACATCTGTTTAGGTTAGTTGTAAGGCAGCGAAAACAAGGGTCAACGTGCAGAGAACATCAGGTGGGATGACAACCCGAACAGCAGAAAATTTCCTCACTTTTACGTGTCCAACTGAAATCATGCGGGATGTGTACGAAGGCCACAGTTGCGCTGTATTGTACCGTACGAGCCCGACAATACAGGAGACTACCTTCCAGCCTGGTACACACCATTGTCTGAGGACGCACAATAGTTTAGTTTAGCTGGACTTCTAACCATAGTGTTCCGACTATTGATCACACTGACAGGTAAACCAAGTTTCTAGAATGACCCCCTGAAAGTGCAAACCTCTAAAAATACAGGGTGCAGACGCTGTAGAACGGACACTTGTTAGCTGATTTCTGCCGATCAGCTGATCAATACAATCAGTCAAGTCGTTTGCTTTGACTGTCTTTGTGCCCATAAGTTGAACTGGTTTGGCGTGATCTGAAGCGATCCGCTTAGGGCTAAAATATCCAGGCTTTTGTTGAATAAAACAATTCGAAAGGGATTGACGGAATCAATCAGATTGCCGGACATTCAAAATAGTTTCTCACTTTTCGAGAAATACACACTTTGGCAAAGACTACTCATAAGGTTGCTGAAAACTCTTCAACAGCCCACGACCGGTTTCGCCCTTCCATTTCGGGCTCATCAGGTAGGCGCATTCCCTGAGTTCCCATCAACCTCATGTTCTAGTTGAACCCAAATTGGACTGGTTTCGAGAAATACACTGTCACCTTCTTATATAGATTGCAGGATTGACGCCAGCGTGTGAGGAAAACAAGTTCAAAGTTCATCCAAAAATACATGGCCGCCGTTTTTGTCATATATATATATACTTTATATATATGCTTTATATATATATATATATACTTTATTGTTCGTACATGGACTCTGTCGATGAACAGGACTGTCATCGTCCAGATACCTCTTAAAACTCGCTGGTTTGATGTACGATGCTTTCGAAAGTGCGATAAGAGGTACAAAGTAGGTCATTGCGGTGTGGAATGACTTCAGCGGGCTTCCAAAGAATCAGTTGCATAATGCAGAGTTTCAACACTAGTTTCAATTCACATTCATGTACATGCCACTGGTTGACAGACTTTTGTGCACTTTGCATGAAGGAAGCTCTCTAAAATTATGTCTGACCGATGTCGACCGATGCACCTTGAAAGAAAAGGATCTGGATGGTTCATGACAGACATTGAGGGACATCAAGATACATCCAAATGGTCTGGTCTTTGGCACAGGCGGGAGATGATGACGTTTGGCACAACAACACACGGTTCGGCGGATGCAAACTCACCACTTGATTACATTATTCTACAAAGCTGTTTAATCGATAATAACGAGCCAGGTGAACAGAATAGCAGATGGCCCGAGAGTCGCCAGTCAGGGTAAGCTGGACGCTATGATGAACAAATAAGGGGCGTAAAGACAGGAATATAAGTAAATCAATAGGACAGGTGACGGTGTTCTTGGTAGATATTGGCCGCATGGTTACTGCTTGGTATACATAGTGAAATATACTCAAGTACATCTAAATATTGCGATTTTGTATAACCAGGAAACCGAAGAGTAGTATTAACTGAAACATGTACAAATGAATCAAGACAGGTGGCCTCACATCTCGCGGGTTGTCGCATTATCTTAGAACATGAAGAGGTGAGAGGTCTGATATCCATGGTGTGAATCACGACATACCTGGAGAGTCTTGTGACTTTTCACCGACATCTGTCTTCATCGGACTCTTCGAAAGAGGAACAAACTTCTTGTCAATAGAGAGCGCTTTACACCAGCTCTCAAGTTCATCACTGAGCAAGGTAAGAGGATAAAAGGAAATATAATCAGCATTCAAGTTACTGTTAAAAAATCAATTCCAAGAAAAAAGCAATAAGTGGCACAAATTGAAGGACAAATTAATCCAGGATGAGTCATCATCACCACCATCGACAGCATGACAGCAGTGTTAAACACTGATGCTTCCCTGCCATACAAACATGATTTATTTGAAGGCTTATTGTAACATGATTTAGTTGAAAACCTTATTGTAAAGAAAAAAGAGAAGGTGGACAGGGGAGGGAGTTGGTGCTAGCTTACCACAATCATTCCGAGGTGCCTACACCTCCAGGCATTCACTCAGGTGATCTGGATAGAAAGTGAAAACAAGAACGTCACTGACATCGGTTGGCAGCCATATCCTGTAGAGTCTCCAACGAGGCACCGTGAGGATCACGCGGTCCCCATCCTGGAAGGCGAGTAACACCGACAGCACCCAGGAGTTGCGTAATCTCCTTCATACCCCTCTGCCAAGTCAAGGGTTGACCACCTCTCCGCTTCCGCCACTCTGAATTGGGCATGGAAAACGGCACTCTTCGGCGAACGATGGTTCGGTCCACGCAACACAAGTCTCAACCAACGCAGCTTTTGTTGCTTAACAGATTCTCTAATAGAAGTACCCGTTGCACAACCGAAAAATTGTGCTTCATACTGGTCTTTCAACTGCTTACGCGATCATACTATCCCGATCAGGTTTTTCCTATTTCAACAGTTCTACTTCTGAAACCGGGTTGTACCCATTTATATCTCGGGACAAATACGGAGCGTACACTCCGTAGTGTTACTTGGAATGATTTTTTTCGGAATCATACATTATTTTTTGCTTTCCTTGCAAACGACGGCGAGTTGAAACAAGATGCAGCAAAATCCAAAGAGTAAAAAAGCCCTTAAATGATCATTATGGTTAATAGAGGCAGAAAGTCAGATTGCTGTGAAAAAAACGCTGATGAAAAACTTTCTGTATTCGGAGCATCGCCCGAGTTTGGTGGGAACACCGGATCAATATTGTTGAGGTGGGTCGGACTGTTTGTGGAAGAAATATTTTGCGCCCAAGGTAGATGAACTGATCACACTACATAGGTCGCTGTGAATTGGCTACACGCTCCGTACTACATCCGATCGATCTCCATGAACGGCCTTTTTAGCATAACCACACGAAGGGTGAAAACTTACCAGGGGAGGTCAAACAATTATTTGGCAGCGGAATGTGAAAGTCATTACCACAAAACTCAGCTTCACTGGTTTTTGTCGTTTCGATGAATACGAGCCCCCGGAGACCCGACCAGTAAATGGTTAGAGAGATTGCCAGACATGGCTCGATCGCGCCCTCAGCGGCGCTCTTGCATTCAAGCGATTGTCTTCAATGAATAGCTCCCTTCCCGATCCCCCCAATAAACGTCCACTGATGTTGCGCGGCCATCTACCCACCTCCCCAAATTATCAGCGAAAGAAACTAGGACAGCCATGACCACCGTACGACAAGCACACGGCCTTACCAGCTGATAATGATGACGGTGAAGTTCATCAGCTGAGTTGGCCACTATTTCGTTGCTGAACAAATGCATAAGTATAATTTTAAACTACTTCGAGGTTTAAAGTAGCAGGTTTTTATATTTACTCACACCGTAGAGTGGGGAAAAAGGTTCCCCGAAAGTTTATTGTACCGCTGGATGTTTCTTTAACTGACTTATGTGCGTTGAAAAGTGTATGCTTTCCAAATACATATCAACAGTGACTTGAGGAGTAACTGACATTTTGAGAAAGAAACGACAGTTCGAAACTAGAATTCAACTTATATCGAAAACCATTGGAATAAATTAGACCTGTAATTATTATTGCTAGGAAACCACATTCACTGCCCATCTCACAAATGTGTAGAACGATTCTTTCCCTCAACCTTCCGGATTCTTGTTTGAGCAGTACCAATGAGCTACGGGTGTAACAGTGATACTACTGATGGGGTAGGCACGCAAGTAGTATGTTTTCTCGTAAATCCGCACCGGGTCTTTTCAAAACTGATGTCTATTACGGAATTTGTGGAGTCACTTTGTAGCACTTGCTTGGATTCGAGCAACAGTCAATGAATAGCCAGGAAAGTTCAGAAGGACGCGTTCAAGGAGAAGATGGATATTCAGTTTTGATCCCCGGTCCCATAGTCTGTAACTGTTCAGTTGGCATTTGCTAATGAATAACTCCGCAGCGAAGGCCTTTCTTTCACGGGCAGCAGATCGACTATGCGGTTAATCTGCAACCAGTTGAGATGTGGGGGCACGCGTTTTTCAGTGGTGTAGAGGTCATGCCATGTGATTTGTTGTGGAGTGACTGAATATACAAGCCAGCACTTCGAAAGAGGCTCATAACTGTTACTTTCAGGAATAAAACATCCAAGCTTTGTAAGCCTTGCTTCGAAAACCAGCTTGCCAAACTCCGATCTGTCTGGTATTACCTTTTCAGCGCTAAAGCGCTTGAGCCCGTGGGACTTGTGCGTTATAGACTGCAGAGTTCTACTTGGGGGACCCCGCTGGCTGAAATGGTGATACCCTGCAACTACAATATTGTATGTGATATAATCCAATCTGCAAAGGTTTTCGGGAAGCACGCCATCGAACGGAGAATAGGTGCGAAAAGTGCCATCCAACCACTCTGATTTTCAGCGTCTGCTTGGCCACCGGTGGGTGGAGCACTATCAGATTTTCTGAAAGGCCAAACAGACTCGTCTAGAAGTTGGCCCAGAATCAAAGTGTATTTTCTGACAACTCGTGCATGGACAGGCAGTCCCAAACTTACGTCAGCATCTTGTCATTACTCCGTTCGCATTCTTTGGGAGATTGTGCAGCCCGATGTAGAAACACAAAGCCCAGCGTTGAGGTATAAATTAATCAGCACCAGACTTAAGCCTAAGTCTGCCTGTCACATTTTGGAGAGTACGACTAATATGTATTCTGGGTTTGTACTTGGCTGAAGCAATAGTGATTTTGCAACATTCAGGCTGATCATTTTATCACGCTAGTTCTTTTAGGTGTTGTCTATGAGGTACGAACATTTTGATGATATTTCAGTCAATTCTGGCAGCTGTCAGTGCGTCGTATTTGATGAAGTCATCATCATCACCATCGACAGCATGGGAGTGTTCAAAACCGATGATTCACTGCCGTACAAGCATGATTTATTTAAAAGCCTGATGGTAATGAAAAGAATAAAGTGGACGAGGAAGGGACTTAGTAATGGCTTACCACAATCATTCCGAGGTGCCTACACCTCCTGGAACTTATTCATGAGATCTGAAAAGAAACTGGCGACAAGAACGCCACTGATATTAATTATCAGCCATATCTTGTAGTGTCTCGAAGCAAACGCGGTGGCGATCACACGGTCCCTATCCTGGAAGGTGAGTAGCCCGACAGCACCTGAAGCATTTCGTGATCTCCTTCATACTCCTCCGCCAAGTCAAGGGTTGGCCACCTCTCTGTTTACGCCACTCCAAATTGGGCATGGAAAACAGTCTTCGGCAAACGATGGTTCGGCATACGTAACACATGTCCCAACCAACACAGCTTCTGGTTCTGGATAGATGCTTCAGTTGAACCACCCGTTGCACAACCGAATACTGGCTTTTTAACAGCCTCGTTATGGATACATTGACACCAACCCACACGAGCTATGGTTCTGAGGCAACAATTATTGAACATCTGAAGACGTCTCATATCTGCTGTTCGAACAAACCAAGTCTCATAGCCATACAACAAAACAACCCGCTTGGTAGCTTGATACATACGTCCCCTAAGATCCAAGGGACGGTGTTTCAACTCTACAAACGCGACCCGATCCTTGCAGCTTCGTGCACCGACCTCATCCGTCACACTACAATCAGAATCAATACAACTTCCAAGGTACGTGAAACGTTCCACAATTTAAAGTGCCTCTTCCTGGTTTGTAAGAGCCGTGTTCAGTGACTGCATGCCTTGTACTTTGTGGGTGCGAAGTGCATGCCAAAGGACGGGATGACTCTGATCAGTTCATCCAAAAACACTTGCGCTTTTTTTTACTCTTCGAAGACGAGAACGATGTCGTCTGCATATTCCGATCGATAAGGGTGTTCGTCACAGGCTATCTGAACACCGGGGGTGACGAGAACGATGTCGTCTGCATATTCCAGATCGATAAGGTGTTCGTCACAGGCTATCTGAACACCGGGGGTTCGAAGAGCTTCCAGCGTTCGTGTCATTATTTCATCGATTTTGAAGGTAGACAGGAATGGGGAGAGCAGTCATACTTGACGGTCATAGCAGTTTGTGTACGGAAGCTGGTACGGGAGCTGGCACGTCACATGGGGTCACATGAATATCTGTGGCGATTTTCATGCTAGACAAAATATTGATCTCTCCGGGGAGCTGAAGTTTATTCGAGCGATAGATGGAACATCTTCCGGAAATGATTTCCAATCAATTTCTGGGTGAACACAAGTCGTCTTTGAACGAGGCCTAGCGAATCAGAGGTCGAAAACTAGACTGGATGATTTGCTTTCCAGCTCACCATTCTTTTCAAGATTTAGCATCCGGTGCTTGGGAACTAAATCCCTTCAGGGAGCGGTTCTCTAGTTTATCTTCGTATTAGCTCCAAAATGAGGCGACTGAATTAAGAGAATTTTCGCTGGAACTCCTGTCATCACTCGTATACAACATTTTGATTCTGACCTGAAATTCACTCATACTCTCGAGTCATGACAATCAAAACAAAACGATACACCTGTCTGTATCCCTATGGACTTACTTGTCCTTCGGAAGTAGATACAATTCGTTGAAGGTTCCATTGTGGCTGGCTGTAAGTGTCAGGTGTATAGAAACAGCTCTGGATTGTTCAGATGGAAGCGTTGGACTGTGCCCACCGTAATTAGCTGATCTGGTCGGATGAGGTCGAATCTGGTAGCTACTCAGGCTGCTACCAGAACGTGCGATACCACGTGATTGAAGACGACTTCCAGACGTAACCGGTTCTTCCTGGGATTGTCTTGTTTGACTCTCCGGGGAGGCAACGGGTGATAGGAGACCAAAATCCATCGTGGTCACTGGTCTGCCACGTCTGGCGCGTCTCCCAGGTGACATTGATGGGGACCCAGACTTTCCTCCACTCGTAGGCATTCCGAGGGGCTTCTGAGAACCTTCATCTATGACCGGAGACTTTTGAGCCGATATGTTGCCAGACAGAGTCCTGCTCAGCGCCGTAAGGGATATCACCTCTGCTTGTAGTTCTGCCCGATCACAATAGTCCAGGACCAAATATCGCTCGTTCCTACACAAAAATACGATTGTTGAACGTATTCTTATTTTTTAGAAATTTTTAACATGTTTATTCAAATTTTCAGCCACCCGTTGAGGATCGAACTCCATCCATCCGATAAACACCTTCCCCGCCGCTTGAAAACGGCACCTGAAAAGTGCAGTCAAATGCTTGTTGTCTAGAAAGTAATTGATGTGACAGTTGGGTCCCTTATAGGGAGGGGGGCGAGATGGCTCAAGTGGTTAGAACGCGAATTTACTGACCGGAAGGTCCGTGGTTCGAATCCGACCTCCGCCTCTCGACTTCCCCTTTCTAGGCTTGGGCAAGCTGGCAGTATCCCAGCCCTCGTGCTTTCTTCGGTTGGCACTGAAGCTAGGCACCGGAAGGGTGCTACAACTGAACGCTTATATGGGTCCCTTATAACACAGAGATTTCTTACAGTTTCCGGATAGCTTACTGTTTGGAAAAAAACGTTCAGGCGATGAAAAGTTTTATAAACACTAAGCGCATTTGTCCCCCGGCATGTGAGCAAAATAGGGCAAGCGCAGTAGAAAAAAAGTAGCTTTCTATTTGACTGGCCAACCCGACAAGAGAGCATTGAGTTAAGCGGATGTCTGTATCATACCAGACCTGACAGAATGTGCGTTACACTCAGAAACCAGTGAGGGAGCCTGCTGATACTATCCGCTGACTTATCTTAGCTGGTTTTTGAAAACAAAGACACCGGCGGAAGTAGTATCACGGTTGCTTAATGTCGCCTTACTTCAATACATAAGGAAAGAACAAAAATCAAGAATAGGCAAGTTAGTACAACGCCCCTTCGGTGATGATCCTTATGAGCCTCTGTTAGACATACAGAAGACGATAGAAAATGCAGTCCAAAGATGGAGTTGATGGAGCACTTTGGCCAAAGTTATGCTTTTCAAATAGAAGAGAGTTTGTGCGATTGGTACCAATCAATTCGCTTGACGAATCAGGTTGAGGAGTGGGGAAAATCAAGCAAGTTCGATGGGGTTTGTATGAACTATCAAAGCTTGTTACTATTGTGATAGCATTTAGGCCTATGGTGAAGATGATGAGGACAAGAAAACACATGTAAGACGGGTCAGAAACGTCCTCTTTTAGGTTGGATTTTTATCACAGATGCTGATGTCCAACGTTCTCTTTATGTCCGACTGAAAGAAACACAAGGGTTGAGGTACTACCGGGTTATCCAGGGAATTTGCAGCTGGCGATCAAATAGGCGTAGTTGAAAAGAACCACCTTGCAGAACAAATAAAAGAAGTTTTGTGTAACGGTGTATACTACTGATGAAGCATGTGAGGGTATGTGGTCAACGTTCTCTTTATGTCCGACTGAAAGAAACACAAGGGTTGAGGTACTACCGGGTTATCCAGGGAATTTGCAGCTGGCGATCAAATAGGCGTAGTTGAAAAGAACCACCTTGCAGAACAAATAAAAGAAGTTTTGTGTAACGGTGTATACTACTGATGAAGCATGTGAGTGGTATGTGGTTTTCTCATAAATCAGCTTCGCGTCTATTCAAAAGTAATATGTATTATGGAATTTGTGGAATCGCTTTGTAGCATTCGTTTACGTTTGAGTGATAGTCAAAAGGTATTCAGGAACGTTCAAGAAGACGCGTCCGAGAAGAAAACAGATACGCATTTTTATAAACAAGATGCATATGGGAGTTTTGCTTCCCTGCCTGTAGCTGTTCGGTTGGTGTTTGCCGATGAATAAGTCCGCAGCAAAGACCTTTTTTTCTTCACTTGTAGAAGAGACCGGTTGTCTGACCCGGAGTTTTCTAACGTTGAATCTAGTCAAGGGAAAACCTCTGCAGAAAAGATCCAACAGTCAGGGACCGGATTGTACAAATAGTGAATCCCGTTGGTCGACTCTTTTGGTCACGTTGGTTCGGCGTGAGCGATTTTGGAACGTTAGGTTGACGAAATTGATCTAAACGATGATGTTTAGGGTAGCAATTTATTCTCCGATGAGGAACTCCGTATGTGACTCAGTTCTTGCCACTCCCACAAAGATTTACACCCAAATCTAAGAAGTGCCCCCGAGTGTTTGCCAGCATACGGAGGCCGATGAAACTATGGATGATTGGATCGTGCTGGATATTTCTGTCGCCGTTTGACACAGCAGCTCAACGTGGTTCGCCGTTATAAGTTGTCTATCACGCATTCTAAGCACTGCTGGACTCTTTGTAATGTACTAATCATAAGGTTGCTGAAAATCCGTCGACAGCCCAGAACCGGTTTCGCCCTTCCACTTTGGGCTCATCAGGTAGGTGCAGCCCACGGGTTTCCGTCAACCTTATGTTGTACTTGAAACCAAAAATTTCACAACGTTAGCAAATATACACTCATTTGCAAGCTAATTTGATTTTTTCGAGAGACTCACCTGGAACCTAGCTGAATCTCTCGTTTGTGATGTTCTCAAGTTTCAAGTAGAACATAAGGTTGACGGAGGCCCGGGGACTGCACCTACTTGATGAGCCCCAAAAAGGGCAAAACCGGTGGTTGGCATTCGATGGATTTTCAGCAACCTCATGAGTAGTACATTACAAAGATATGCACGTATCGCGGTATCTCGAATATCGTAGCGACTGAAACATGAGACGGCCTGGTGCAGCCCATTCAGTTGCCTGAGAACATCACAAACGAGAGATTCAGCTGGGTTCCAGGTGAGTCACTCGAAAAACCAAATTAGTTCGCAAATAAGTGTATATTCACTATTGGACTCCTTTCGATTTGCGTGGGATTTATGCGCCAAAGAGACGCCACAGAAGAGCAAGGCGATATAAAACATCAGCTTCGGTGCGGTCTATCACGGCCATAACAGTGGAACCATTTCAGAGATACCACTTCCACACACACACACACACACTCACGCAGACATTTCAAATAGAAACTGACAATAAGATCGTTGGTGACATCGATTGGCAGCTTTTATTGACTTGAATGCACCTCAAAAGAATGCAGTTGCATGACAAATCATTCAGACATTCCATGGAAACCAAGTGAACACCAGCAAAAGAACATTCAGAAAGGAGTTTCAAACCACAGTAGCAATACCGAGGCCAAGTAAGACTACTTGCTATCAGTGATGAGCAAGAAGGTCCACCTGGAACGAAAATCTGGGGGCAAATGATGCGATGAGATCACATCAGTCTAACGCTGTACCTATATCAGGGGTACTACCGAGGATGGACTACAACTATCTTGTGTTACTAATTATGGAAGGAGCTGCCGCTGTAGGAGAATCGGAGGATGGTCGATATTGATACCTAAGTATAGAGTACGGACCGATTAATATTCTCAGTTCATTGTTGAAGGCTCTACTGCTAAGGAACATCGAAACATTTCTTCTGGGATATAAAAGGTGGGTTTTATTGGGAAAGTGAATGGGTACGAAGGAAAGCGTTTCACACACGTGGTCTTGTTGGACAGTTCTGGGCAAAGTTGCACAGGTTTGTAGGACATCTGTATTAGAGTGTCTGCCCTATATGGAGGGGGAGTAAATACCCCTCAGTTCGAGACCTGCCATTTTCATAGAATGAAGCAGATATTGATGAACTTACCATACCCAAACCTCTAGACGAAGTTAGCCAAGTCATCTGGGAAACACCTGCTAAGAAGCCCCGGGTTTCCAGAGGGGAAAAACGTTGAATAGACGCCAGTGTGGTGGTAGTTGATGCGCTCCATTCAGAATGAACGGGAGACTGAACATAAGCAGAGTGGGACTGGATCAAGTGTGCGGCACAAATGCTTATTGAAAGAAGCGCCTTGGACATATTTCGTTGAGGGATGGATCACCTCAAATACCCTGGGTAAAATACACAATGTCTCCATTGAAGACAGGAGAGTCAAACCCGTCAGAAGGAAGAGCTCCTGGCATAAGGCTAGAATTCTACAGGCGAGAGCTCAGCAAAGTCAAGAATGCAATGACTGCCGTCTCACCTTAAAAATCGCTGGAGCCTGACGGACTCTATACCAGCGATTAATGAACGTGTTGGCGCTCGATACCGCAGAGTCTTTACCTCAGTCCTTCACCAAGCCCATGGATGAAGAAACTTCACCTAAGCGTTTGAGGGATACAACCGTTTATTGTAATCCTCGCAGAGAAAAACTAACTGTACCAAGTGTCGTTTTGGAAAAAACCGTCTGTAGAAGAAGTAACGGATGTCTTCTAGACAACAGAATGCTCAACAAACTCAAGATGGCTTTATAAAGCGAGGACTTTTTCCGCACAAAGTAGTTCCACAGATGGGTCGTATGACACCAGTACCTGAAGAGAGATGTGGACCAAAGTGATTCACATGGATCGTTTGATCGCATCATTTCCTGTGGAACAAACTGAAATCTTTGCTTTGATGAAAAGGTATGTGATTGAGTAAACAGTTTTTTGAAGGGTAGGACGATGAATATCAGGTTTAACGAAGGTAAACCAGATTCAACATAAGTGGAGTCCTTCAGATCTAGGTCTCCCGCTGGTCGTTGCGGAAATCAACTGTTTTACAAGCGGGTTGGACATTCGTTGCCTCTCTGCGCGTAAATTCAGGATAATAGGTTGATGACCAAGCCTTTCGAAGGCATCTTCATACGCACATAGTTCCCTTTGCGCACCAGGGAAGGATCTCGAAACCCGGGTCTAGTGCTCTTCAAAAGTTTCCATATATATCTATCCTAATACGGCTTACGATGAAGTCCAAAATACAAGGAGGGGGTGGCTGTGTTCACTGCTGAGAGGATTACTAGCTCGTATGGTCATTGCTTTGTCCTCTCCTCAAGCAGAATGAATGTCACTAGGCCTGATGAGGCCTACACCAACGACCAAAGCAATTATGCTTAAAATAAATGATTCCCAATTGCGAAATTCCATTGCCTACTCGAATGGTTGTGTGATCACAATTGTCAGACCACTCCTTCTAGGGAGACCCAAACCGAGCAGGTCAATCAATCAATCAATCAATCAATCAATCAATCAATCAATCAATCAAT